TCGAGAATTTCTTTTTTATTTATAAATTGAGATAACATACTTCCGTTCGAACTTGACAAAAACTAACGAATGTAAGTACGTATATTATTGCATCAGCTGTTCAAGCTGATTTTGTTTCTATGTATGAATATACATGCGGCTTTCGATCAACGAACGTATATTTATCTTTCCGGTCGAAGGAATTGATACGACGTTGAACCCTCTCTTCGTTATTATAGGAACAAAATTTATGCAATGATATGCTAATTATTTTAACGATAGTCACGTTTATTTCTTTAGTTGTGTATGCGTGGACGACCAGACTTTTAAAAACAAACTTCTTCAATCTATATAGTTTTGTTAATTAAAGATTGAAATATATTCAGAATATCTAATATTTAATCGTTTGTACGAGAAGGTATACGTCGCTTATTTAACAATAACAGCATTAATATAATGCAGTGAAGTTTTACAAAACTTCCTGTATATCTTTGTCATCATTAACCGATGATGATGTCTATCGAAATATTAGTACAACACAATATCATTATTCGCAATTCTTCATTACTTTAAACACAATGATTACTTCGTATGTATATACATATATCTATTCATTCGCATACACATACCAATGTTTAGATATAGAGACAATCAAGTCAAGAATTTATCTTTGATGTATTTAGTTTTTAACATATTTTCGCCAAAAAATCTGAACGGAAAGTTTGTTTTCGCTGATATTCAACAGACTTTGAAACATATCTCTCTCTCTCTCTCTCTCTCTCTCTCTCTCTCTCCTCTATATATATATATATCTTTCTCTCTCTTTCTCTCTTCTCTTTTTCCCCCTCTTATTTTCATTAGTGAACACCGAAACTAGATATTAATTAATTTACATGTTTATATTATATAATAAACCAAATTGATCGTATTCTTTCATAAATGTTTCGTATAAGAAGAACGTTCATTTTATAGTCGAAGTAATGAAGTTTTTCCATATTTTCATGTTCATAATGAAATTAGCTTGAAGCGAAACTTCGTTTCTTTTTCTTTTTTCTTTTTCTTTTGTAAAATTTCTTCTTCAAAATTCTCGTTTGAGAATCACTGCCGTATCGATCGAAGAGTATTATTTTGCATCGCTATCAATGGTCTCTACGCAAACTTAAGGGTCAAAGCAGGCCATCTTATGTTACAGATAATGAAAAGAGAAAAAGAAAAGAAAGAAAGAGAAAGAAAGAGAGAGAAAGAGAGAGAAAGGGAAGGAGAAAAAATGAAAAGAAAAAATAATCCGAGTCGGGGAGTGAAAGTTCATATACACATATATAGCTGTTTTGTCAGCTCGTTCTTCTAGTCTTTTATCATATTAGGAACGTTACATAGTTTGATTGAGTTTTTAGACATATCGAGATTTCCCTTTTCTAAAGGAATCGTAATAGAAACCAATTCTTCATTTAATTATAGATTGCATTAATTGTAATAAAGTTTATCGAAGATTAGACATACATATATAGCGCTATTCTGCTTAAATCGTTAGAGGTTAACGTTAATATTGAAATTACATTGACAATAAAAATATGTTCGGATTCAGGTAAATTACATGTTTATGATTTCGAGTGAATATTCTATGATGTTTATATATATATATACATAACAATTTGTAGATCTTTCTTGTTAATTGACCTTCCAATATTTAGCTTAATTAATGTTGAAACTGTTATTATATATAAATTTTTTTTTCCTTTGAACTACTGTTAATAATCTATAGATCTTTCCTGTTATCTGACCTTCCAGTATTTGAATTGTGTTATGTTGGATTTGTTATTGTCTTTTTACTGATAATTTACTAGGACACATTTATATATATATTGTATATAATTTAAATATTTATATATAGATAATTTTGAATATAAGAAATATTGAAAATAGAAAAATATATAATATCAAAATAATCACTATATAATAGAAAAGATCTCAACTCTTGAATTTTGAACGATATTTATATTCATATTGAATTGATTAAAATAGGATACTCTGTTAAAATATTCTCCTCATCTTTTGGTATAGCGTTATTATAGCATAAGCGCAGTTCCAGAAATAAGTACCATTACTCATATGCATAACTCTATTTTCTCTTCTCTGTAACCACAAGCACATTGAGTATAGGGATGTTCACCTAATGTAAGTGTATTTGCATTGGAACGATATAACGAGAATGGTTTGCCGGCCAAACTTTCCAATTCGACTGTTTTCATATTTCTACACATGTGACTTTGTAACGTGTTCTCACCGTATTCGTATGGATTCGTAAAATCATTTCGAAATTATTATACATACGAAGATGCAGAAACATTTCCTTTCTAATTTCCTTCAAGAGAATTTCGTTGTACATGCATCCCTATGTACTTAATAATGTATACGATGTACATACTTAAATATCGAAAGTGAGTTTACATATTCTCGGGTAAATAACTCTCTCTAGCTATTTATGTAATTGTAAGATTAAAAAAATTCTAACCTTATCGAAAACATGTGAATTGCATGTTTGCATATATATATAATAAAAATTAAATAAGATATTACTATGTATTTGAAAATGTTAAATGACGTATTACCATTAATTTATATTGGAATCGTACGATATAGATAAATTATTATTCAGAGTAAACAAATACAACAGACTCAATATCAAACAGCTTTGTATATATTATATTGTACAAATAATATTTGTACAATCTCGATCGAACGCGTACGAGAACAAGAACGAGTTATGTTAAAATAAGTTAGAAACGTTCTACGATCAAATTCGAATTATTTTAATGAAATCTGAAAAGATTATAGCAGGTGTTCGAGAGATAGAAACGCTTTAATACGTTTATGAGTATTTTCGAATTTCAAATTAAATTTCAAAGTTAGGTCACTTCTAAACATTGAAATTGTATAATAATAAACTTTTATACATTTTATTGAAATGTATAATAATAAGTATAATAATTGTAATAAACAATTTCAATGTTTAGAAGTGACCTAACTTATTTACTGATAGAACGGCATCAAATAAAGTGGAAAATTGAATATTTATTAACATCGTCATTTTCTTATCGATAACATATATACAAAAAAAAACCGAGGAAAAAAATATGATTATATAAGACCTTGAATCGATAATAATCAAACGTAGATACACCTATCTATAAAAATTCGTATACAACGTTCGCTTTGTTCTCAAATTTAAATTGAAATAATTTACAGTGACCTAATGTATTTAGCGATAGAACGATGTCGATGATTTCTCAAAATGAAAAATTTTATTAACAACGCTTTTGTCTTATCGATTACGTACTCAAAATGTAATTGTCTGGCTTCGAAACGATAATAATTACTAATAAATACCAAATTTACTGAATATACTGACAAAATGACCTTCGTTCTGTAAACATTTCTCTTTCGCCATGGAATTAGAAAAATTGACAAAAATAATAGCATATAATTTACATATATACTAAAGGTAATATATGTAAATACTTAAATACAACGTCGTGCATCGATAAAAATAATGAAAATTTAATAGTATGCTTTTTAAGCCTTTCACAAGAATGAATTTAAAACAGTAGAATCTTTAATCTCCACCAATAACGGCTTCGGAATGGATCGCCATTAGTTCACGTTACGGATTTGATTTTCCTTGTTCCGTAATAAAAATGACGAAGCAATTTCTTTGGTTATACAAACTGCTAATTATGATCGTTGTGTTCGTGATTCGACATCTTCCCCTCATCATCATATCGTATCACGTTCGATAATAATCGTTGGTTTGGACTTTTGATTGGAATACAATCGATACTTTCTAACCTCTAACGAAACAAAATATTTTATATATAAAAAAAAAAAAAAAATAATAATAATAATAGAGATAGAGATAGAGATGGAGATAGAGATAGAAATAGAGAGAGACAAAAAAGAAAGCAATGTACGTAATAAAAAAAAAAAAAAAAAAAAAAAAAAACCTATAAGATCGTTGATAAATTCATAAATATAATTTTTGTAACCTCAAAATTATTTACCGTTTCTTCATTGTGCGTTAAGTAATAGATATTAACGTTGATTTCAAAGATGATACTGAATGTTAGTATATAGCGAACGAAAACTAAAACTTAATACGATGATAACGTTTATTAAGATAATATTCGTCATTTTTATTATAATGGAATGATCGTTGATAAAATACGTGGTTATAAAAGCATGAGGCGGATGTTTCCGGTAGGAAATATATATGTACGGTATATACATACGCATGTATATACCGTGAGACGATGAGAAAAATATAGAGGTGTTACGTCAAAAGTCGAAAGCGGATCTCGTCGATGATCTTTTCTTATTATACGTAAGTAAGTAAGTACGTAAGAAGACGAAGAAGATTAAAAAGAAGAAGAAGAAGAAGGAGAACGAAAGAGGAAGGAGAAGAAATCTTTGATATACGAAGAGGAAGAAGTGATTAACTAGTGTGTGCTAGAAAGAGAGATACAGGGAAATAGAGCACGAGAATGAACGATGATGAGAGTTAGAAGAGAGAGAGAAAGAGAGAGAGAAAGAGAGAGAGAGAAAGAGAGAGAGAGAGAGAGAGAGAGAGAGAGAGAGAGAGAGAGAGAGAGAGAGAGAGAGAGAGAGAGAGAGAGAGAGAGAGGGAAGAGTACTTTTAAAAAGATAAAGAATGAGAAAAGCAACACCGATTTCCGCGTAAAGGCAAGAGTCTCGCAAATCGGTGCACGTTCTCGTCTCCAAAATGGCTGATCGCTAAAATTAGCATTCGACGAGAGGACGGGAGAAAGAAAGAGAGAAAGAGAAAGAGAGAGAGAGATAGGCGAGAAGGTTAGAGAGCGGGAGGATTGGTGGGGATAAAGGGGAAGGGAAAACTCGATAAGGAGAAAAACGGTGTGTGTGCGTGTGCGTGCCTTTCTCCATCTCGCATAAAGAAAATAACGAACGAATAAATAATTAAATAAATAAATAAAAAAGAAGATCCTTACCTTGTCGTCGAAGAAAAGTCATATAAAATGGTATCGCCCTGCTGGACGGCCGCCTTCTAGCGTGAAAATATGAGTCGCAGCGACGTTGAGCGTCGAGACAGATGGATTGCCCTAACGAAGGGTACACCAGCTTTGTCGTTATGTCTCGTAGAATGTTAGTACTTCTTTCTTCCTCAACGATCGTGAACCGTCGCAAGAATGTCGTCGTTCTCCTCTTTCTCAACTTCTTTTTTTTTTATATACTCTCGACGAGCACTCGTCGCTCGTATCCGATCAGGGCGTGTTGCTCACTATCACCGTGACTCCTTTCTAGATAACTTTTCCTACGAAAAACTTATATCGGATTTTTATTTGCCACGAGAAACGCAAATTTTTATGCAGCTCGAATAAGTTCTATCTTTCTTTCTTTCTTTCTCTCTTTCTTTCTCTCTCTCTCTTTTTCTCTATCTTTATCTCTCTCTTTTTTTCTTTCTTTCTTTCTCTCTCTCTCCCACTCTTTCTCTCTCTCTTCTCTTTCTCTTTCGGTGGATGGTAACCTCTTCGTAATTCTCTAACGCTTATAAACACGCTGAGATTCACGCTATCTTTCTTCTTTATCTATTATATTATATATCGCGTTCCTTCTCTTGTATGTTTCTTTGCAACGTGTTCCTTTGAAAAAAACGTTCCGACTTACTAGGCGACTACTGCCTGAATACAACTGCGAGCTTCGAGCAATTCCAGGACCGTCGCTCGACCCTTGACACCCCCTGGCGATATACCATTTAACTCTCCTTTCCCCACTCTATCTCACACACCCACTCAACACAGCCATGCTCGTTTTCGTTGTTCCGCCATTGGCCTTCTCCTTAGTTTTTTTCTAGTTCTTTTTTAATATTGGCATTTCGTATTGTTCCAATTCTTCGATTATTTTCCCTTTCTCTCTTTCTTTCTCTCTCTCTTTCTTCTTTTATCCAATAGGATTTAAGAAACACTCTTGAGATTTCGATTTTTCCTTATCCGGTTCCGTAACTTTATATGTTTTTTTTTTTTTTTCTTTTTATTTCTTTCGCAATTGCATCGATATTCATCGTTATTTTCTTCGAAAGGTATCTTTTCTTTTTTTTTTCTTTTTTCATTTCTTTTTTTTTTAATTCTTTTGGAAATTTTATCATTAATCATAATTATTTTTTTTTTAAATAGAAAGAAAAATATTATGGCAGAATCAATAAAATTTTTTAATAGAGATAAAAGAACATTGCGCAAAGAATCCTTAAAATTTGTTCTTTAAGGCTTTTAATTGCTTAAAGGCTTGTGACTCGTGTGTAACTAAGAAAATTTTTTTATGTAAATCCTTGTAAACTTATTGGCTGTTATGAAACAGCCTTAAAGTTCGACTTGTTACGGCCCTGATTGTCGATATAGAAATAATAATATATATATAACAGAATATATATGTATGGTGTATATACAATGATATGCTTGTGCGCCTTCCTCTGATGCCGCTACGCATATTGTAATCGACATTCGTTGCCGTAAGAACATTAAATTTGCAGAAGAGTTGAAATTTATGAATAATTTGTTGTTGGTATTGTTAATACACCATAGAATATAATTAAAAAGAGAAGTGGAAAAAAGATTTGCATATTATTCTAACTTCAGTGTTAATTGATAAGCAACTACTGCATACGAGACGGTAATTATACATCTTTTCATATAATTGTGAAATATCTTGAAATATTGTCCCTCACAATAAAGCTTAGTATTTGTAATGTTTACTGGCCTTACGCAGATACATATAAAGAATTTAGTTTTTATAATGGTTCTCTGCCATTTTGCATAATATATTTAAAAAATTAATAAAATTGCAAAAACGTTATAGTATAAGTTTGTCGTAATATTCAAGTTATATTTTAACTTTAGATTCTAAGTTATAATTTAAGTCAAACAATTTTTGAATTATATTTTTATATATATATATATATATAGGAAATAGAAAACATGAGTTTGCCGTTCACATGTATAACCTGCCGTGTGGCTTTTAAAGATCTCGAGATCCAAAGACAACATTATAAATCCGATTGGCATAGATATAATTTAAAAAGAAAAGTAGCAGATTTGCCACCTGTTACGGTAGAAGATTTTCAAAAAAGGGTTATTGCCCAACGTAACCAAAATGATAAGTCACTAGAAGAAAATATGTATTGTGGAGTGTGCGGTAAAACATTCAGTACCAAAAATCAATATGTAAATCATTTATCATCTAAGAAACATAGAGAGAAGTTATTAAAATTAGATATACCTTATTCTGGATCCGAAGATGAGAGTACGGTAGATGATTCAGCTTTATCAGCTTCTGTAATATCTTCTATCTCAAATGCTACAACTGTTAAAACAGCTGAAATTGGTAATCATAGTCAAAGAACTGTAGACGATATGGATATTGATTCTGATGTTGAATCTGTAGATTCTGATGAATGGATTGAAGATACAGATAATCCTATCAAGAATAACAATTGTTTGTTTTGTAAAAATCACAGTCGATCCATAGTACGAAACTTGAGACATATGACAATGGCACATTCCTTTTTTATACCTGATCCAGAATATTGTATAGATATCAAAGGTTTGCTTACTTATTTAGGAGAAAAAATATATGCTAACTATATGTGCATTTGGTGTAATGATTCCGGTAAGTGTATCTGTTCATTTGATAATTATAAAATTTATTTTATTTGATTAAGTATTAAAATAAATATTGTTTAAACAGGAAAAGCATTTCAAAGCGTCGAATCAGTCAAGGCACATATGATCGACAAAGGTCATTGTAAAATGTTGCATGAGGGTGATGCACTTGTAGAATATGCACAGTTTTATGACTACTCTTCTAGTTATCCTGATGTAGAAACATCAGATCCAGATGCAGAAGTTGAAATACCTGAACTAGATGATACTGATTATCAACTAGTTTTACCATCTGGTAATGTGATTGGTCATCGATCTTTAATGAGATATTATAAACAAAGTTTAAATCCAAATAGAACCGTTGCTATATCTAAAAACGATAAATTACGTAATATAATATCACAATATAAAGCTTTAGGATGGATCGATACAAAGAAGGAAATAGCTGTTAAAAAAGCTAGAGATATTAAATTTATGCAAAGAATACAAGCTAAATATACTTTAAAATTAAATTTGAAAGCAAACAAGTTACAACAGCACTTTAGACCACAAGTTAATTTTTAAATGTGATTCAAAACATCAAAATTATTCAATCATATGATTCACAGCTATGTAAATGAAATATTGTATTATTGGTACATGTAGCTATATGCTTTATCAACTGTAATTAATTTACATTTTGTAAAAATGTAATTATTATTTAAATTAAAATAAACATTATAATTTGCAGTTTTTTGCTTAAAGTCACCCATATGTTATGTAGAATGAAATAAAAAGTTTGTTCTAAAGATACATTATACGATATAAATTATTATAAACTTTATTTGGCGGATATTCTTACAAAATAATGTATACATTTCTCATAACACGTGACACCGACAAAAATACTATTTCTCATAATTTGTATAATTATTTGCGAATGGACCCGTCATCTTGTAATTCGTATTTATATTCGTATATCTTACTGTACATTAAATTTTTCGTTTTGTTCGAGAGATAAAATGTACAGATCATGTAAACTTTCTGTGTCTCGTGCTTTACCAACGGTTGCAACGAAAACGTAAGTTTGTTTTTTGAAACACGTTAAACGTTATATACTGTCTCTTTCGTTTTCGTATATTGCCATTAGAAAACAAATAATTTTTCATTATATGCTTATATATTATAACTTTCCATCAGACTATTGTCTTTAGTGATGTACACATCATTATGATATAATCTCTTATAATATTTAACGAATTCATATATAGATATTTTATTATATATGTATATATATATATATGTATATATATATATAGACATTTTACATACGCAACCCCTTTGTTAAGCAGAATTAGAATCAATAATTTTTTTAACTTTCCTGAATCAACAATATGTAAAAACGATCGTCAATAGTTGTTATTAGAATTGTTGAGCTCAGAATTTTATAACTTTGCTTGGAACACATAGACCAGGGCCAGTAAATGATTTTTTGGATTATTGATTTATACGTTCTAAGCAAAATGCGTGCTCCAGCTTTTCCACATTTAATTATTGTATAGACATATATGCATCTTTTTACGTCATCAACAAGTATATTAGAGAACTGTTATTGTCACAACGATACATATACTTTACATAGGATAATATACCTGTCTAATGCAACAGTTTTACCATCAGTTTTACTGCTTGATGAGGTGGTTCCGGTCTGATGTTCTCCGGAAGATCCGTGTAAGGAATCTCTGCTTCGACTTGAAAGCCATGCTTTAAACAAACTTTTTGAGAATACATACCAGTTGCATCGGCCTTAAATACCTGCGAATGTAAATAGAAATAATTCGTTTGATAAGAAATTCAAATATTCATTGAAATCGTATACAACGAGAATACCTTCCAGAAAAAGACAACAATGAGAGTGCATTTTGTAATTTACACCTTTGTAAATGAAAATCATCCCATGCATATTAAGTGAAGTACATGCTGAAACAAAAAAAAAATTGTGTACTTCATAAAAGATATCGTGTCGAGGCACACGTACAAATATATATGTGCTAAATGAACATAGTAAAAGTCTATATATCGATATATTATTATCGTCGTTTTTAATTACGTGGTAAATGACGGATCGCGGGTCGTTTAAAATAATAGTTCAATTATAAATAAACACTTAACGACATCAAGTCATGCGTTTACACACAAGCACTTAACATTCATTCCATTTGACATTCATAATGCTTTATATTTTTCATAAAACGTTTCAAGTATATGTTATCTCAATCGTTACCTTGAAACCAGCTTTCCTTGCAACTTCAAGACTATCCGACATCAAGACATTTGCCAAGCCTTTCCCGCGAAAATTTTCGTCGACGCTTAAAATACGACATTCGAATAATTCCTGCACGTTGTATTTCCAAAATAGATTGACCTTTTTGTTAACTTTATAGAGCTGTCCGAAAATCTTTTTAAATTGTTTGTCATCTATCTCCTCAAGTCGTCGACTGGCTTCATCCCTTTCCTCCTCGTTCAAGACACCATTTAGAGCCATACCTGCTATCTGTTATTAAAAATGTTTTTCTTTATTTTCTTTTCGACAATTTTATCTCTAAAGAAAAATCTTTCGAATAATTTCGCAAACGTGTAAATCAATCGAGAGAGAAATATTTCTGTTAAAATTTACAAGGGGTAATTTAAAGAAAAGAAAAAAAAACCGCGGGAAAGGATAGGAGCATTCAAACGTACGGAATAGAATGATTTGCTTCGAGTGTAGTCAATCGTCATAGAGAATAAACTTACAGTTCCATTTTCGGTCACTAGCATTCTGGAGTATCCCTGCTTCAAAGTCAATAGACAATGTCTCTCGAGTTCGAAATGAGATTCTCCTTTTTTGCATAATCCAATAGCATGATTCAATGGTTCATCCGCGAAGAAGTTCCATTTCAAATGATTAATTGCATCGGCGAAACGATCCTCTGGAATCTCAGCGATTGTTAAATTATCAGACATCTTTGAGCTGGGCGGAGAACAAATTTTACGCGCACTGAAAGGAATTTTCACACGCGCATCTCCGTAACTAAAGAGGGTTGTATCGTATGAGGAGAGAGAGAGAGAGAGAAAGAGAGAGAAAGAAAAAGAGGTTCATATATTGATTGACCCAGTTCAAGAAAGTTCACTTCCCTACGATTATTATTAAACAATAGCTAGGCAATGACGTCTTTATTACCAAAGGGTCAAATTCTCTACAAGAAGGAAAATCGATAATTTAACTTTTCTTTTTTTCTTTTCTTTTTTTTTTTTTTTCTATACAGTTTAAAGGATATTAATTCACAGCTATCTAAAATCATGTTCATGCGCATGCTTTTCGCTTAACGATTTATTAATAAATAAATTTGTATTCGTCTTTTTATCGAAGAATTAATTAAGGTTAATAAGGGTGCTAAATTATCTTTAGTACTCGTTGTAATTAATGGAATTTAAAGAGGTCGTAGGAGGGTTGGAAGAATATAATGTAATAAACGTTAGCGATGGTAAATAGTATTGACATGTATATTTTTTATTAATGATAAAATATTACCGAGTATTTGACGAAGAAACTATCAAATTGGCCATTCTTCTCGTCATGAAATTATGCACAAACTACATTTACTTTTATATCTTATCAACTTTATTAACAATAACAGTATTTGGAATATTTAAAAAAAAAATACAGATACTAGTAGAAGCTGACGTAGCAATAGATATACAATACTAGATCTTGCTAAAATAATTTCAAATTATACAATAATAAATTCTGTACAAGTGATTTTTTAGATATATAATCAAAAAATATTAATAACATTCATATCAATCATAATACAGATTTACTGTATAAATATATTTTTAAAATATTAGCATGGGTCTATGAACAAGGAGATGGTATTGTTAACGTTTATCTTCTCTAGATTTCATTAAATGAAATTGTGTCTCTTTAGAGTTGCAACTTATTGACCAAGAATGAACTACGAAATTGCACTTCGTGTCATTTCGAAGGTTTGCTCTTTCTGGTATTTCTACTTATTTTCATGGATTATTTTTAATAATAAAATATGTACGAACGTACTCTGTACATAATTTAAAAGAGTAAATCCTCGTCACCTTCGTCCAACATATTCGCTGCTTCTGATTCTTTACCAGAAGCAATCATATTTGCTCTTGCTGCCTCGGACTGAAAAAAGATTTATTATAAAAGTCATATAAATAATTTTCTTGGATGTATACGTGTTATTTATATTTTGTATAAAATTTGTATACCTTCGATTTTGCTATTTTCTTCTTATCTTGAATTTTCTTTAAACGATAGAATTCTTCTCTTTCAAGTTCATCCAATTCAGATATAATATATGCGAGAGTTCTTTCGATTCTTGGAATGATAACATGTTCAATGGCATTTACACGACGATTTGTAATTTTAATAACTTCATCTAGGGTTACAAAACTTGTTTGTAAAGATGCCAATTCTACCAATAATTTAACTGCTTTCTGATAGTTTTTCTTTAGTTTCGTTAATTGTTGTCCACCTCTAGCCAATCCAGCTAATTCATAAGTATCGCTACCATCTTGATACGATTCAAATACTGGAAGATTAACACCAGCGACATTGTCCTTCTTTGAACGAATCTTAATTTGTGCCTTAGTGACATTTTGTAGGACAACTTGATTAAAGTCACCAGTAGCAAATTTTGCTTCGGCTAAAGAAAAGGCAGCTTCTTTCATTACTTCTCCCATAAGAGTTTTTGTCTAGAAAAAAGCAATAGAATATATATTATAATATGAAATATGTACATAGTATAATTTTATATAGTACAATATATACATTATATAATTTAATTTCATTTTACCTCTATAATTTTTCCTAGAATCATTCTAAAACGCATCTGCAACGCGTCAGCTTTTTTTTTGAGTAATCCATGGCCTTTTTGTGCACCTTGTAGACGTGATTTCATTAACATCTGTGCACTTGAATGGATACAATAATGTATTTATTAAATCACATTGTTGTTATTATTTTAACAAAATTAACAAATGTTAATACTAACGAATGTTTATTTTGCGACTGTCAATTGTAATATAATATATTATGGTTATATATAAAAAAAAATTGACATTCTTGTAAAATTACTTGTAAAGAAAAGACTATCACAAAATTAATATGGAAGATCGTTTCGTTCAAAATTTATTTTTAAAGATTAAAAAGCGTAATGTATTTTGAAATAGGGTTACACCCATTTTATAAGTGACAGAAAAATTTCTCATTATAGAAGAAAATTATAACAAGTACAATATAAAAATGATTGTTTTTAAATAAACAATTTTTCTATAATGATAATAAAATTTATTCCATAATATACTTACCCCCGAGAGGGGAAAATTGGAAGTTTTTCTTTTCCAGACATATTTTCGATTACAATCAAGCAGACAGGAATAGGATTGATCAGCTGACTAGCGAGAACGGAAGTTCCTAGACATTTTAATCAAGTTATCGCGTGACTTTTAATTCTTTTACATTCCAAAACTTGTATTTCCTATAAAAATTACACACACAATTTTCCAAATTAGAAATGAAGTTAACGATAAATATGATACAAGAACTGGTAATGTATTATTTCAATTGATTCAAGTTTATTTTTCTGATAATGTAATTATTTGATGTATAAGAAAACTACGATATATCAGGGTCGTCTCTGAGATACAGCCCTGAGAATCATGCAAAATATTCTTCGTGATTGGTGAACGATGAAGTTGGTATTAATCAAAGAAAATAAAATAATTCAAAATTAAAAAGAAAAGAAAAGAAAAATATGATTACGATATCACCTCTTTATATATCTAATGAAATTGAATAAAGCTTTCAATATATTTCGTAATTTAATTTTATATCAACGCGATTCAATATTTTAGTGATTTCGATATTTTAGAAAATGTTATTGTTCTTCTGTTGTTTTTTTATTCGAACGATTTCCAACAATGCGAGTAAATAATTATTTCACCCGAATAACTGTTCGATTCCTTTTTCTTTATATATTCAAGTAGAACATGAAAATTAGACAAAAATAAAATGAAACGTTTGTTCTGTGTCAAACATACTAGTGCCGATAAAGTAGGAAGTTTTAGGCTAGGAGAGTAAATTCAAAAGTCCCGCCAGTGTGGCGCCATGATAAGAACACAAATTAGTAATGCAGCGTGGGCTTGAATGATTGTTTTTTGTTTCTTTCGTTCATTCTTCCAGTCATTTAACAAAAAAAAAAGGAAAAAAAAAAAAAAAGAAACAGAAAACAAAAATTTTCGAACAAAGTCACACGTATTAATATGCAATCGATTGAAAAAAAAGTTTCTGTTATATATACGCATATATATCTAGTCACAATAAAAAAATTATGTAATTTAATTATCGTTACTATGCTAGGGACTCAATGCGCCGGAACAACGACGCCATCTTATGAAAGATACGATGTATCTATCGTATCGATAAGTTACATCATTCGAGAATCGACATAATTCGAGTGTGAATCGATGTCTGATTTTTTTTTTTAGATACAGTATCGGTCGAGTCTTCGCGTGTTGTTTGCCTTTCGCTCTCGTCGGGTTCACGTGTGGAATATTACTAAGGAAAGGCTGAAAAGATATTGGTGTTGATTCAGTGACAGCGAGAAGAGACGTGCTCACGTGAGGATTCGTGCTATATAGCTAAGCATTTTTTAGATTTTCGAAAGATAACTTCAATTCACTGGTACAGTTCGAAACGTAAACTTTCGTCATATTCGACATCAAAGTAAGTTTATCATTCTTACGTCGATTACTTTTGATTGCTTGTTACGTCTGTCCTGTTAATTCTTTTTTCTTATTTTTATTTTCTTTTTTTTTTTCACGAATTGGAAATAAAGAAGTTTTTCTCTTTTATCTATGAAAGAATTCAAAGGTAGAAACGAAAAAGGACGCGTAGAACGAAGGGTCAAAATGCGTTAGTGATCGTTATATATAAGCACCTGTATATCTATAGATATTTCTTGAATTTTAAGAGACGAAATATCTTACGTCATTGTGTTAACTCACCGGTCGGTGACGCTTCCATGTTGTATTAGTTCTCGGTAATTTGCTTTTTTTTTTTTTTTTTTTTCCCATTTCTTTTTATCATTAATTTTCGAAAAAGGCAGAAAGACAGACAGAGAGAAAGAGAGAGAGAGAGGAGAAAGAGAGAGAGAGAGAGAGAGGAGAAAGAGAAAGAGAGAGAGAGAGAGAAAAACGTAAGCAATTTTTACCTTTAATTATGCCTTACATCAAATGATATTTTTTGATTTTTAAAAGGAGTTGCATTTGGTCGATAAAATAAAAAAAAAATTAAACATAAAGTTAGAAAAACCTTTCCACCTAAGCATATTCTTTCTAAGATATTCTTCTAACAATATTCTAACAAATGTGTACACACACACACAAATACACATAATCATACATATTGCAGACACATTGGTTATCATTTGAATTTACTCGTGTCATCGCCGTCATTGTCAAGTATGTTACTTAACATATAACTTTCTATTCCCAAGATACAGCGCCCATTTATGTTCAAATATTAAAGTAGATGGATGTGTATATATCTCTACCTGGGTAAATACATATATGTATATATGCGTGTGTTCTTTTCTAGTTGCGAATTACAACTTTATTCGTCTCTCTCTCTCTCTCTCTATCTCCCTCTCACTCCCCCCCCTTTCTCTCTCTTTCTCTCTCTTTTTCACTTTGCAAGAAGTTTAAGAATTTGAAAAATAAGGTACTTTTTTTTTACCACTACTATGTTTTTTTTTTTTGGCATATCATTTATTGGTTCTGTTCTAAAGAAAAATTGCTAAATTCGTATCGCTTGTTTTCACTGTAACTCATCAATGTCTTTCTTATTGTTGAATGTAAATAATATTTAATAATAAATATTGGTTCTATCGCAAAAATAGCTGTTCTTTTTAATGAAAAAATAAAAAATAAGGTACGTTTATTATTATTATTATTATTATTTTTAAATTGATTGTTAATTGAATATTATTGTTTTAATGTTATTTTATTTGATTCAATAATATTGTTCATTTTTAATAATTCGTTTTAACTATACGAAATATAAATCTAATATATTAACTGTAAAAGTAAGAAAAAGTATTAGTAACATGTAAAATAAATAATATATAAAGTAAATAATGTATTATAGACTAAACATTTATGGATTAGATTTTAGGTACAATTTATTTATTTCTTATAGTATATTTGTGTCTGAATATATGTATATATATATTTATAAATTTATATTTACATATATATATATTTATTTATGAATTTATATTTATATATATATTTATTTATAAATTTATATTTATATTTATATATATTTATTTATAAATTTATATTTATATATATATTTATTTATAAATTTATATAAATATATATAATTTATATCAACCAAGAAATATGAAATATTTAAAAAATAACAATATTTTTCTCTCGTATTACTAAATTCATTTAAAGAATTCTAATCGACATTTATAATTAATGCGAGTTGTAATTCTGTGATATTTTTAAGTTTTTTTATTATTGATTATGAAACGAACTGCGTTTATAAATATTTATTTTTGATTTCAATTTACGATTTAAATTTAATTATATGAATCGTTTGTAAAATAATAATTGTTTTTTTACGAATGTATTTATGTTAGTATATATCTCATACATTAGGATATATATGTGTGTGTGGTTTCACAATATAGAAACGATCGGAATTTTTTCTTTTTTTTCGATCTTTAACGTAAGTATATTTCTTTGATACATAAGTATATTTCTTGGACGTTAGTATATTTCTTGATAATCCAGTTATTTCTGCCTTATACAAATATCTTTTCACTATTGTTTTTCATTTCTCCATCCAATTCATTTTTTATTTTATACGGGAAAAGATAAGAGACCAACAATAAGACTCCATTGTTTATTCAATCTAGAAACAGCGTTCTAATCTTCGACATTACGTGTATCAAACAACGTATGCTATATTGGGTTACTTTTGTTTTTTATTTTGTTTTTTGTTTCCTTTTTCTTTAGCTTGCGCGTACACACACACACACAGACTTTTTTTTATGAAAATAAATGTTTTTTGAATTGTATGCTTTACGCATTATTAACTTTTCTGTGATACACTTTATTTGAAAAATGATACAAATAAACGATAATCCATGTTTTTTTTTTTTTTTTTTTTTTTTTTTATCGTATACTTTTCGTATCGAGCTACCAATTTTTCGGTTATACACTTTATTTGAAAAATGATATAAATAAAAGGTAATTCATCCAAATTTTTTCAATCGTATGCTTTTCTTATTATCAGTTTTTATTATTTCGTAGCTATCAATTTTTCTGTGATACATTTTATTTGAAAAATGATAGGAATAAACGATAATCCATATAAGTTTTTAAATTGTATCCTTTTGCCATTGAGTTATTATTTTCTCTCCCTTTTTCTGTTTTCTTTTATTTCTTTTTTTTTTTTGTAGTAAAATTTATTCGCAAAAAAATGATAAACAATGAAACACGATATTCTAGATGTAAATATTTGTAATCGTAAAGGGATCATTAATCACTGTCAATATGTAACGTTTTAGACGTCGAGTTTATTACTCCATTAAAATTTTATCATTTATCATTGATCTTTTATTTTCAAAGATATGGAGAAAGCCACAGGGTCTGGTGGCAGCAACATGGAACCATCAGCACCTATGCAAGCGTCATTACCAACAGGTCCACCTTCTTACGAAGAAGCTATTGCTTATGGTGGAGGTTTACCTAATCCACCATACCCCGTAGGAGTATCGCCGATGCCAGTACCGCCAACGTGTATGTTATATTGTGTAATATTCAGACCCGTTGACATCGATAGAATAAATGACCTACTTTGGATAATTGAGATTGTTTAGATGATAAAGGTGTTAGAAAACATGTGATCGATCATCGCGATCGAAAATTTTAAACAAAAGATTTGTGATAATACAAAACAATGAAATTAACGTACGATATATTCTTGATTAATTTGGACTTTTTTTTTTTGTTTTTCGTTATATTCATTTGGACCGTATTAATTATAATTATAATGTATTTGTTGAAAATTTTTCGTAAAAGATATTAAAATTAATATTGATATTTAGATACGTGATCGATCGATCATTAAAGTTGAAAATAAAATGAAAACTTGCGAATGTAAAAACTTGTGATAATATATTCTTGACTTTTTTACATTATTTCAGATTAGATATATTTATAACATATTACTGTACGAATTTTAGATAACCAGCCACCGAAACAGACTACAATGCCAATGCCCTCGAATTATGTCGTGCCGAATGACCACAGTGCATCGCAACCGTTTAATACGGATCAGAACTTTGCACCTCCGCCGGAAGTGCGGATCATTCACCAACACGTAACCTTCGCCCTAGGTCCACACGCGATCAAAATGACTTGTCCGACATGCCACGCTGACATTAAGACCACTACGATATCGGATCATCAACCGAGTGCTCACATCTGTTGTATCGTACTCTGCTTATTGGGGTAAATACTTTAATAGACATAACGCTTATAAATATAGATATGCATGTATTTTTAACTTTATATATCCGTTTTTTAGATATATATATAAATATATATTAAATAATTTATAATATATTATATATGTGAATATTATATTCACTTATATAATATTATATCATATAAGTGAATAATATATATATTAGATGGACTGGAAAGTAATGTCGTTTCTGCGCATGTCGATATTTGATTGTGATTAAAAATAAAAACTTGTTAAAAATTTATTCGTTTGAATTTAATTTAAGAAAGCTACATTACTTTCCGATCCACCTAATATATATATATGCTATATTTTATTTATCGATAAAAAATGATAATATATATAGGAAAAAGAAAATAATTGCTTTTGTAAGGCAAAGGAGTTAATCTAACATAAAATTTCTTTCTTAACAATGATTATGTAAGATCGATAAAATTTTCATTTCAGATGTTGTCTATGCTCTTGTTTGCCATACTGCATGAGCGCCTTCATGAGCGTCCATCACTTTTGTCCTAATTGCAAAAATTATATTGGTACATGGAAAGGTTGATTGCTACTATAAAAAGTGCGTTTAGGTGACACGCACTTTCTCTCAGCCTTCCATGTAATTAGGTATTATGTTATTTCATGAAAACAGAAGAAAACCAAAAAAAAAGAAAAGAAAAAAAAACAAAAAAGATAACAAAACTATTCGATACTCTATACTTGTCTCGCATTAAAAGTAATGGAAGAATGGTTAATAAGGGTACCTACATATATTATAGCAGGTTGTGCTGCAAATAGTATGTTTGTGTGTATGTATGTGTGTATTTATGTACGTACATATGTATGTATGTATGTATGTATGTATGTATGTATGTATGTATGTATGTATGTATGTATGTATGTATGTATGTATGTATGTATGTATATATGTATGTATGTATGTATGTATGTATGTATGTATGTATGTATGTATGTATGTATGTATGTATGTATGTATGTATGTATGTATGTATGTATGTACGTACATATGTATGTATGTATGTATGTATGTATGTATGTATGTATGTATGTATGTATGTATGTATGTATGTATGTATGTATGTATGTATGTATGTATGTATGTATGTATGTATGTATGTATGTATGTATGTATGTATGTATGTATGTATGTATGTATGTATGTAAGCGCTACGCTTATTCTTTACGAAACATTCGAATGCAACCTATATGGAGTGATAGTCACCTAGTTTAAATTCTATTCAATTAGAATTAGCCGTACGTATGAGAGAGGGAGAGAGGGAGAGAGAGAGAGAGAGAGAGAGAGAGAGAGAGAGAGAGAGAGAGAGAGAGAGAGAGAGAGAGAGAGAGAGAGAGAGAGAGAGAGAGAGAGAGAGAGCGAATGGGACTGAGAAAGCGATAATATATCATCGTTAATAAGGGCGTGTAACAATGTTATTCTTATTTGCATTTATTACATTTAATATGTGAATCTATTTCTCAACAAGGAGAAAGAATTTCGAAAGACATCCTTTTTGGAAACCAGAATACGTGTATCTCCTTGAAACGTTTTCAGTGTAACAAGTTATAGACCGATGTACACATACATGCACACATGCACGCACGCACATACGCACATACGCACATACGCACACATACACACAAACAAGTATAATATTTATATATAATTTTTATATATATATATTATATATTATATATTATATATTATATATTATATATATATAAAAAATATATATATATATGTTTGTGTGCGCGCGTGTGCTTGTGTGGAAGACTGGAATTTAGGAATATTCCTTTTTTATTATATCATGTAATCTTTTTTTTTATTTTCTCTTTCTAGTATTTAAAATAAATTTATAATTAATTACGGAAAGTACAACAGTAAACCTTTTTATTTTAATATATTTTCATTCTAAAGGAAAAGAATACGGAATGAAAATCGTCTGACTTTTTGTTGTACGACGGTGTTCATAAGAATTTTTATTTTTGTATTATGAAAAAAAAAAAAAAAAGAGCGAGTACTTTGGAAGGGATATAATATTAAACAAAGCGCACATAACGTAAATATTTTAATCTTTTCTATGATATAGGATGCAACATAAAATGTGCGCTTTATATATTCGAATAAAAGAATAATAATTATAATACAGGGTGTTGAGTGAGTAATCATGATAATTTGTTGCGTTGTTAATTTTAATTTAATTGCTCAATGAAATATTTATATAAAGACAAAATGTCGTCTTCTTACGAATGTATATTGCAAGAAAGAAAGAAAGAAAGAAAAAAGAAATGCTTTCAAAGAAAGAAGAACAAAAAGGTAACACATGTATTTGCCATATTGAACATATTTCTAAGAATATTCCACGCATGTCCTTTATATTATTACTATATATAATTTTATATTTGTATTATACGTGATATATTATATATAATATATACATTCACATGCTAGTATTGTATATAATAAGTATTCTTGTGTATAGTGCGATGGATTTGCCATTCCATTAATGGAAAAAGAAAAAGAAAAAAGAAAAAAAAAATTTAATTTTAATTCTACGATACATTCAAATTTATTATTTAATTTTTTAGAACAAGTATTTCGAGTATTATTAATATTAACGTCATTTATGTCGAAATATAGAAATTGTTGCTATAAAATTGATACTTATCTGTAACATTTATAACACATCATTGTGTGTGTGTGTTTATTTCTCGATACATGATAAAATTTTATCGCATTGTCAATTGCAGAATAGATAAGACTTTGATGCTCTGAGACTTATCAAATTGAAATGTAAACAATGTTTAACATTATTCAAAAATTTACATTGTAATGATTTGCTTTATTTTTAAAAGCACAAACTAATAAAAATAAGCGGGCGTTTATTACAAGAAAAAAAAAAAAAAAAAAAAAAAAAAACAGTTTCCTGCAAAGATAATAGAATTTTTTTAAATATTTTTGAAACATTAACCCTTTTGATACGACAGCATTGTTCTCGAGTGCTTTGCTGCTGCTATACGGACAGTCAGAATATGAGCGTGCACTTGAGCGCGGTACGATCGTGTACTTTGTCACGAACTATGAACGACGAATACTTTATCGCTGACAGTGCTGACATGTCGCTGATATTTGATACTTTGTCATGCATTATCTAAATTATCAGTTTCTTAATCAAGTTGTATTGAATTAATATAACCGAAGTTGTGAATAAATGTGAAATTTTAATGGGTGACTTTAATCATCGTTGGGATATATAGAGAGCATGCGATTATGGATGACTTATAGTTATCGTTTGATCAGAGTAGGTTGAAGACGGTTCCATGATTAACCAAATCGAATTTCAGTTAATCGATTAAGATCATCATTATAATTCAAAGATTAATACTATTTCTATTTTATTCGATTATTTCGAAATTGAATGAAAAATCAAGTAAATAATTACATTTCATAGGATTGCACAGATCTACATTTCATTGCACAATAAAAACCGGTTAGTCAGAAGACATTAATCGTATCAGGATTACCTGATACGATTAATTTCCTTTTCTATCATTATCATCATTGTCATTATCTTCATCTTTATCGTCTTTATTTTCATCATACTTTTCATTATTATTTTTCTCTAATTAAATTTTCTATAATTTCAATTATTTTTTCATTATCTCCTCATTTCAATCATATATATTCCCATTTCCGATACTAGATATGTAATTTCTCTGTGCAGTTGACCACATATGATTATTATCTGCATCATTCATACCAACCTACAAGCAGGGTTATTTTACAGGTCTATAGCTATTTATGTAATCAAGCAATGTAAAGTTAATATACTATTACCATCACTATCCACTCATATTCAGTCATACTCATATTCATATTTATCTGGCCATATTCATAAGTCTATTGTTTGTTTTATTTTTCATTGCAAGTCTGTCCGATACAATTGCAACCATTCGGCATGTCCTTGATATATGTTGGGTATTAGACTATGCAAGCTCTTCCATCATGTTAAGCTATGGAAGTGATATTATATAAGCAACTATGATTCATCTGGTTTGGACGGGTCAGGAAAAACGCACAGCATTCTGTTTTACAAAATGTAGTGAAAATAATTAGCAATAATAGCTGTTTTACTTACTCTATTGAACAATAATAATCGGTCAAAGTAGATCTCTTCCTTACCAGCTGTGCTAGATATTACTCGGTCAATAACAATAAATCTCGCTTTACCGACTGGGAAAATTTAGATGGCAACAGAAGAGATTAGCTTTTTTGATTAAATAAAATTCAGCCAGAAAATATTACAGCTTTCGATTACAAATAAATTTTCTTAAGCCACTATAAAAACTGTATTACTATTGACTGATATAAATTAAATAGAATAATGGAATGAATCTGTCCTACTAAATCGGTAATAGTAATAATAATAATAATTAATCTAACCACAAATTAAATTACATTAGTAATAATAAAACACTATTTTTCGGTCAGATAATTCTGTTGGAAATAATAGAGATCTGCTTTTTACCGATTGAATTTGGTAATAGTAGATTCCAGTTTTATTCAATCGGTAACTAAGCGAATAATAATAGAACTTTATTTTATTGAAAACAGCTAGGCTGATAATATAAGAATCCTGTTTACCGATTGGTAATAGTAGATTCTATTTTAGCGAACTTTAATAATAGATTTTTATTTTTCTGATTAACTCAGTCGATCTAAAATTTCACATTCATTCACGAAATTATATTTATTAAATTACTTCAATACAACTTAAATAAAAAACTAATAATTCATATGACGCGTGACGAAGTATTAAATATTACACTCTGCTAGTGATAAAGTATACATTTAATTTGTGATGAATATATGGTCTGCGCTAAAGTGTACGTGATGTTCTGCTTATCCATATAGCGTCCATAATAGTAATATTCACGGATGATGCTATTGTAGCGAAAGGATTAACAGTATAGAGTGAATCTTAAATCAACTTAGAAATTTATTTCAAATTTTCTTTTTCTGCGCGATATTTATTTGTAGACCTTAAGATCTCGTTATATCATTAATAGCCTTTGTGTATAGCCGCTCTTTCCATGTAGAATAAAAAGGAAAGTGGAGCGTGAAAATTAGAAAAAGGACTAAAAGGAAGTTTACGTTGGTGTATATATAAAATAATTTTGAATAATTTTTACTCTTATGAATGTATCAGTGTAATTATTATTTATTTATATTGACGTAGGCATACAGTGTGTATCGAACAAATTCGATTATATTTTAGTCATTTTTAATGAAAAAGATCTTGCTTATGCTTTTATCGAAAACTTATGCATATACATATGTATGTATATATTTATAACATATTAATATTATTTTTATTTGCTCATCGGGAAGATTAATTGGAGCATCGACATGCTTCTATATGCACAGTTAGATTGACGAATTATTTATATCCCTTCCCTTGCCCCGTCATTAGAATAGTTTTAACGATCTTACATCTGTATCATATCTATGTTACATATTATTAGCACACCTGAAAGTCTATTGATAATATTTTCAAACGAGAAAAGAATCGTGTTTTTTTCTCGAGCTGATGATATAGATCGAACCAGATCGAAACATACAATGGAATATTTTTTCTTTTTTTCTAGATTTTGTTAGAAACGTCACGTGAGTAAGGCACGATGACGAATCTCGTCGAGTATCTACGTACGTTAATTAATCTTTTGATTTTTAGGCCACGTTTATGTCGAGATTGATCGTGATTTAAAAGAGAGCCTATACACTTGTACGAAGAGACATCTCTTTTAAACATTTCATTTCATTTAAACGACTCGCTACGTTTTTTTTTTTCTTCTTTTTTTTTTTTCGCTTTCCGAATAAGAAACTGAAAGTGGAGTAAATAGGAATAAGTACGTTTAAATATACTAGCGAGAAACGTATTTGTCATTTAGACGTTAGAATTAGTCGACAATGTTTTCTTTTTTTTTTCTTTTTTCTTTTTTTTCTTTTATCTTTTTGTAAAGAGCAACACCGTAACTCTTGTCTTCCAGATTTTCTTTTAACGCATTCGTATCCATGGAAACACTGAAAGACAAGAGGATTTTTATGAACTGTACATTGTATTCTTGATATATGAATCAATGACGTTATAATTTTTAGACTAGATTTTCTAATAAATCTTGGCCCGGTGGCAAATATTGTTGATGAGCAATGGAAGAATATTGCATATCGATAGGTTTAGTATCATCGTAAAGTGCAGGAGCTTCGGCGAGAATAGTAAATGTTCCACCTATGGAAGCTATCGTGAAGATCCAGAGGAAAAGTCGATCGAGAACCATAGCGACAAAACCCCAATCTTGATCCTCCTGCAAATAATACAAATTTTATATTTATATTTAATCTTCAAGGACGATATTTTTTTGTTAATAATTTATTATTAAAGGCAAATATAATTTATTATAAATCATTATGGTAATTAATATTAGAATTATCGATCTATTTTTACTATATTTTTCGATTTTTTTTAGGTACTTGAAAGAAAAAAGAAACATTTTTTTCATTATTGTTTACAGTTTACTTAATTTTACACTAATAAATAAGCAAAAATAGCTTTCGATTAATATGTTACTCTAGTAATGCTAATTTTGGTAATCATAATAAAAGAAGATATCTAAAATTGATTATTTTCATAGATTTGGTAATTTTATTGTTGCAAGTAGATGCAAAGATATAAAAAAAAAAAAAATATATATATATATGACTGAACATAATCTAAAGAGATTAATTATATTCATTAATATTTACAGCATTGAATTCGTCCTGCCGTTGTATATGATGTTGAATGAACATCACATTATGTAAAGCTTTCTCAAGTTCGAACGGATACTTTTTTCTAGGTGTGACATCGCTTAAAGACTCATCCAATCCAGACATGACAGTTGGAAGTCCATTGTAACCACCAAAACCTCCACCAAGAAATCTGTTGTGTGCAGTTGTTGTATGTAAGCCGTTGCAACCTGGAGAAGACGATATAATGCCAAATTATATTATTATTATTATTATTATTATTATTATTATTATTATTATTATTATTATTATTATTATTATTATTATTATTATTATAATTAGAAAGGTTGTTTTAATTGTAGAAAGTACCACCGATACGTTGATGACGAGCAGAATCTGGAGAAGAAACGATGGAGGAAGATTGAACGGCAGCTGCAACGGCTGCATTGAATTTACTCTTTTTCCCAGATTTTCCTCGTCCATGTATTTTATGAGCAGCAAGATCATTGAGAAGATCATCTGGTACTCTCATTAGTAATAACTTCGGTAATCTTCGAATGAATATTTTTCTGACCCACGGTGCCATTTTGTGTGTACTTGGTTTACGATAATGAACGTTCAATATTATTATTGTTATAACTACCGAGAGACCTACGAGGATCATTGTGAAGAGCAAGTATTTGCCTAATAATGGTAATGCTAACGAAGTAGACGGTATAATTTCTGATATCAATAGGAAGAACATGGTTTGAGATAGGAGGATGTTGATACATAAGGCTATTTTCTCTCCTGAATCAGCAGGTAGATAGAAGGCCAATACCGAAAGATAAGAGATGCTTACGCACGGTACGATTAGGTTCACTGTGTAGAAAAGTGTTTTACGACGTAATGTGATATTGAAGAATATGTCGGGATAAGGTTCGTGACAACAAGGATAATATTTTTTGTGACGTTCCGCTGGTACACCTAAAATGTCCCACTCGACACTAGGATAATATTCACGTAGGTCGATACCAACTTCTACTTTGTCTCCCAATTTTTGATTAATGTGTTTCAGATCAATCTGAAAAATAATTTTAATTAATATCGATTGGTGTTTGATTTACATTTTGATATGATTAGATTCTTTTTAACTAACCTGAAAACCATCGTATGTCCACGAACCAAACTTCATGAAACAGGTTTGCTGATCGAACGGAAAATATCTGACGTCGATTTCGCAGGATGATTTAAAAATAGCTGGTGGTGTCCAAAGGACTTTACCCGTGTAATGTAAAATAGCTTTTGTCATGGTGGTCACGCCATATTCTCCATCGGCGCTGAGAATTGATATTACAGTTATTTTTTATCTGTTTTACCAGGTATAAAAGGAGATATTTTAGGATGAAATTTCTTACTTGTTGTAAAGTACGATATCGGGTAACCATATATGTTCGCTCGGTACATAGAGTTCTGTTACACCTCCATATTCCGATGGATCCCATTGAAATTTGTGATCCTGCCATTCCTAAAAGTTAACGAAATTTATTTATTATTATTATTTTATTCTTTTTTTATTTATTGTTATTTTTTTCTTTTTTGTTTTTTTAATATCAAGATTATTGTAATAGAACATCGTTATACTTACATGTTCTAACCAAACGTTCGTTGTTAGGATTTGATCCTTTAAATTCTGCAAATATATAAAATTATTAGTTTCTTTTTCTTCAAAATATTTATACTATAATAAAGGATTAATTAAGTTATAAATTTATTTTACCAGGTCGATGAGCTGTGAAAGACGAAGACCTAACTTGACAACGACTGTATCTGTATTGTTTGAAACGGGTCGAATAAGACGATTGTAATTCGAGAGTAAGTCATCGTAAAGTCGTTTAGCATCAGGATTCCCATAGCAAATCCTCGCTGCGAGGATCACGGTAATTAATCTGACTATCATTATAGTTCGATCGCGTACATTTATTTATATATTATTATTGGCTCCCTGCAAAAAGTTGGATCATATTTCGATCATTCTTTTATTATTTTTATTAGAATAAAAAAGTAAAAATACAAAAATAAAAAAATAAAAATAAAAAGAGCAAAAAAAGCTGAATATATAAAAACAAAATCTAAAAAAGAAAATGTTACTCGAATTAACCAAGAAATATTTCTCTTCTCCGTTAGCATTATCGACGACTGTAGGTCGATCAATAAATTATTGTCGAAACGAGGCTGTAGTTTAATAGAATCGACACTTTTACCTTTATAACGTTAGCTTAACTAGGCTTTATATGCTATTGCTAGTCAGGGATTTATGAACCTGTTGCGTTAACTACCATCTATCTATATTGACTTTATGTCGAAGAAGTCGAAATTAAACTTGGAATCATTCATACATATTGGGGTATCATTTCTTCTGGTTAATATTTCTTCCAATAGATATTGTTTAACAAATTTCAATCTTTTATGAATAGATTTTATTATTTAAACAATTTCCAACAAATTTTAAACAAATATCTTATACATTTTTTTTTCAAATTATGTATATATATATATATATGAAAATTTTGAAAAGATTGAATTTCTTCGTCGAATATATATATACATGTTTCAAAAACGACGATTAATTTTAGATAAACTATGCCTTAGATTTTAATTAATAGTAAACAAAGTATATTAATATCGCTGGATATGTTAAAAAGGTTAAAATTAAATTACACGTGGTTTCTTTTTCGTTATAAAAAATCGTAAAACTTTGATAAATCTTTTAATCTTTTCGATGGATGTAAAACGCGAAATGGTTACATACTCATTAATCGGGATTCCAAAAAGTGTCGATGCGCTTATATCGCAGGGTGAAATCTCGTGGCTCTCGGTAGATGTCATAATCTAAACGGCAACTCGCACGATCTTCCTTCTGGTCTCGCTTTTATCGATCGGAAATGCAAGAAGGATCCGTCGTGTATCGCATTACTCACACGGGTTTGTACCGTTCAATGAAACGGCGGAAGAACGTAGAACAGAAATGGCATTGTGTACAGCCAATGGACCACTGGATGATGGTACATGCATCTTAGATTCGCAGGATCAATACACCATTGCGCATGCACCGACGTGCTCGACCGTACCTGCGCCATGTGAACGAACTTTAACAGCGCAGACTCGCTCGCACACCTCCGGCATTCCGCATGTAATAGAATGAAAAAAAAAAAAAAAAAAAAAAAGAAAAAAGAAAAAAAAGAAAATAAAAAGAAAAAAGGGGAAAAAATAGACGAAAAAAATCAAAATAAAGAAAGAAAAAATAAAAGACTTAACTTATACGTTCATCTCTTTCGACTTTTTTTTCAGAAGAATATTTTCTTCGTCCATTTTCGTGCTTACTTTCGTTCTCTGTGATATTTCCATATTTATGATTGTTTCTTATGATCACTATACAATTAGACCGTTTTTATAATATTTCTTTCATCATTACTACACGTTTTATATAATTACAGTTTTGAAAGCATCATTAAGAACAGTTCAATCGACGAATCGAATAACGAAAGTTAGTAACACATTAATAGAAATAACACTACAGCATCTCACGTTTTTGAAAAGATATATTATCATATTCCCGCACGAGTTCTTTTTATTTTTTATTCTCTTTTTTTTTTTTTTGTTTTTCTTTCCTTTATTTGCCGTTAACCGAATTCTTCGTTGCTATAGAAATAGAAGCGTTAGGAACGTCGACAAAGTTGAGATACGATTCCAACGTTCGGAGACACAAACACAGCTCTCTAATAAACACGATTATTTTCCGGGTTTCCTCGTGTGAAGCACTACGAGGATGGCTGTCGTGCCACTCTCGGGTGTCATCGTCAAGGGTAACTGCCCTCTTTTGCTCGCACAGCTGCGTAAGCGCTCCGACAACATCGTTTTCGAGCTCGTTCTCATCGTTTATGATTTATATTTGACATTGGTACTATGCGCTTTTAGTGAAAACCATCTCGATTAATCGGCATATACATCGTCCGAAAAGATTTTCATTTTACCAAACGATCATTCGCAATCGACAGTGGACAATTTACCGGAGATATAAAGAATGCGTTTTATGTTATACAAGTTACATGGCTTTTATTGTATCAGCCAATAAGTAATATAAGGATTTTCAATATTTTTCGGTATTTTTTTTCTTTTTTTTTTTTTTTTTTTTTTCATTGAAAGTTCTAACATTAACTATCGATCTTATCGGAGAGTTTATTAATTTTCGATAAAAAAAGTAACTGATAATTCTGATATTACTTATTGGCCGATTTAACTATGGATTATTTGTGTATGTATTTTAAAATATATATTTATACGAGATATAAGGTTTTATTATTCATTGATTCTGTACGATATACAAATCATGAAACAATTGCTGTTACTCTATGAAAATATAAACTTATAGAGACATTATGTTATCTTTTATATAAGGCTCGTTTTTTTTTTACGTCATTTTATATGAAACATGTTATATAAGGATTTATTATATTGTCATTGAGTATTTCAAGCGTTACCTTCTTAATGGGCTAGCTTTTAACTTTGATTTGTGATACCTTGAGGATGGGTGGGTATGTAAGCGTAAAGAACATCATTAGCCATGTAACCCTTGTAGATTTTGGAAGGATCCTATAGTAAATAAATTCGCTATATCGTCGAAGGATAATATAGAGTATTCATATCGTCCTAATAGATCCTTGGTATCCAGCTAATAATCTTTAGTTTGGTACTGTGTTCACATGACGTAGATAGATTGCTCCAACGGTATATGTATAATATATAGAACGATAAACCATCTGAAAATAGGTCGTGCCTAATATAATACACGCTACTGTACTTTGTAATTTATAATTAATTCGAATAATGTTTAAAGTCGTCTTTTTTGGTAAAAGGAGGAGACATTTTCCTCTTTCTCTGGTTACACACCATATGAGATAGAGAAAGAGAGAGAGAGAGAGGGGGGGGGGGGAAATTTGTGAAGCTTTTAGCTCGACGATACGAGATATAATAATCGAGAATCCCTCCCCTTTTGCGAAGTAACGCAAAACGATCGTTCCTTTCTAAGTTCTCATCTTTCTTCACGTTGTCGCTATTTCTCTATGTTATAATATGATAGTAATAGGTCTACCCATTAAGTCTGTCTTTATTTTCAAGCTCGTATCTATTTTCTTCCAATACTTCTCTTTCTTACTTTTCATATACATATATACATGCATATGTGTGATATACACACACACACACACACATATATATATATATATGTAGATATAGATGTAGATATATGAACTTTTCTCTATTTTCTAGTATGTGCTATCCTTTGTCTGTTATAACAATGACAAATGTGACTGTTTTCCGGTTTTCCTGGTGCGAAGTACTAGCTCGAGAAATACTATGACGTCACATTCGAGTGCAAACGAGAGGTAACTGGCCTCTCCTACGTAAATACGCACTCATCATATATTCTCTTTTACACACACATACGTATATACATATATACTGGTATTATAGGTAAACGCAGGTACGTCCTTGTACAGAATTTTCAAGAACGACAAGTTCGACGATCCAATTGTACTTCGAAATAACGGAAGCATCGTTTGTAACGTTAAAAGCGTCTATTACCGCAGATGGACCGAGTTATCGGAGCGAATGCACTTCGATTCGAATCGTTGCACTACCGGTTCATTTCTATTCGAATTAGAAATGGATCAACTGGAAAGTTTTCTTTTTTTTTCTTTCTTTTTTCGTAGTATTTCCTTTCTTCATTCTTTTTTTCTATTTCATTGGGTTATGATTAAAATCGCGTGAGATTGAAAACATTCTCTTTTCTTCTTTTTTTCTTCCTTTGTTTTTCTTTTTTCTTTTCTTTTTTCTTTTCTTTTTTCTTTTATATTTATTAGAAAAAATTCATATCTTAAAAGATAACGATACTTTAATAGAAATACTTTGTACTACTTCATACGATATTAATATTGCTTTTGTGACAACTTGTATTAGCACATAGATCATATAAGCTTACACTCTTGGGTCTTGTCTACGTTGCATGCACTGTATCCGGCAGGTGTAAGGAATATGCTCTGTACATGGGTGCATCAAAATTCACTACAGGTTCTCTCTCTTTCTCTCTCTCTCTCTCTCTCTCTCTCTCTCTCCCTCTTTGCATATACCCTTCTTATCCCTTCGCTGTCATACGAAGTTGCTAATAGTCTAGTAAACTGGGTGCAATTTACGATGATGTATATTATTTCACGAAGACTTGTTCGAATAACGTTTGAACGTTCAAAATTAATAAGAAAAATTTTATATTTGTTCAGTTTTTCTAAAAGGTTTTTTTTTTTTATTGTCTTTTCTCATGAAATTTTACGGAGAGAGAGAGAGAGAAAGAGAGAGAATGAGAGAGAGGAAGCAAGAGAGAGAGAAAGAGAGAGAATGAGAGAGAGGAAGCAAGAGACATAGTGCATCGATCGTCTGATCATAAATCATTCCTAAGGAAGAAAAAAAAAAGGAAAATACATAAAGAAAGTTCCGCTTATCTGTCAGAGAAAATTCATTTTCGGACGTCACCGGGTTAATCTTCCGAATTATTTTTCCGGATGGCAAGCCGGAGGAACGTCCGTCGGTCTATCGCTATTCACACTCAATTTCCAAACTTTCCTGAAAGATCGATCGAGTCCCATCAGCTTTCGTCCGGTTTTCCTTCTTCACATTCCCCCTCTTCCTTATCACTCGACCCCATAATCCTTGTTTCGGAACGTATATAACAACGATACTATGACATCCCTTACTATCAGCTAAAATTAATAAAACGTGTTGTCTTTACAATAGATAGAACATACCGCTAGTAACGTTATACAACACTAATACTTTTTTGTTATTGTATTTATTATTATTATCAAAATAAATAAGTTGTTTCTTTCAAAATTTCTTTAAAAATAATATTCCGATTAAAACAATATTTTTGTTTATGGGAATATTTTCGTAGAGATTTGTCAAATCATTGATATTTTCTTTTTCTTTCTTTTTTTAAATAAATCGATATATTTTTATTATCACAACGTTGTAGCATATAAATAAATGAATTAAACGACATGAATTTGTTGCGATTAAACAAGAAAGAATGATATTCGTAAAACGTTAAGACTTAAAACGTTTCACATTCATTTCTTTTAATCACAATAGAATAATTATAATAAATTCGATTTTGAAAATGATTGATAAATTTCTTGAGAATCAAGATTGTATTTATATAGTGTTTTATTTATAATATAATATTAATAATAATATTAATAATAATCGTTCCCACACATGACTACACTTTTACACTTCCTTTCCTCTGCTTCCGTTAATTGTTGAAAAGTTTAAGGTAAGCCGAATGTTTTCAAGTTGGCGAACGACGTAACTCTGGCGATCGACTTTGTTCGTCGTTTCGAAAGAGAGATAGTTCAGCGATGTTTCCTCTAGAACTATTTTGGAACGCGAGTAATGCAACACTTTGTTCTTGTCTCTCTCTCTCTCTTTCTCTTTCTCTTTATTTCTTTCTCTCTCGCTACGTTGTATCGTCGAAGCGAATTATTAATCAATTCCGAGCTTTGGGAATGTCCTCTCAGACAGAAGCAATCTTCCTTAATCACGATGAAAGTTACAGTTAAAATCGCATTCTTGAAATTTCTGTTGAGGAGTCTACCAAGCTGCTCAGAGAGAAATAGGCAGAAAGAATGAAAGGCGGCGATGTTACTAGTGTTGGTTCATGGGTTAGAATGAGATCGAAAATGAGAAGGCTAGAAGAGGATACTAACGTTGACTCGAAAGAGCCTCCTGACGTGTACCGGTAATTAATGTGGTCTCACGCACCGACCAATCTTCTATATCTCACGGACTAAGGATGAACAAGGATAGGAGGAGTAGAAAGTGAAGGAAAGCAATAGGGATGGAGATGCGAAGAAGAGAAGGAGGAGAGGAAGGTAAAGTGGAAGGGCTGTGAAATAAGCTAAAATCCCATTATAGTTCGTTACTGGATTCTCTTAATATCCACTGAACGGTCTGAAGCCGTTTCTCTAGTTTCTCTCTCTCTCTCTTTCTCTCTCTCTCTTTCTCTCTCTCTCTCTCTCTCTTTCTCTTTATATATATATGTATGTATATATATCTTTATCTTTCTCTTTCTCTTTTTGGAAGATGGAGAAGCACGGCCCGTTTTGCAGTTCCAGGATAATAGCCAGGGCGGTGTTGGACTTTAAATGACTGTTTGCGCTAGAGGTTCGTAAATTATGCCGACCCCTTTAGGGACACCCGGTATATTCTACCTACGTATGTACATATGTACGTAGCTAGTGGTAGATATGTGCGTACGTGGCTAAGAGAACAATATTAACGTTCCTCGTCTAGCGCATCCTCGTCGTCATGGCTTATGCTTTGCCGATTATTATATGGAGTTTATTTTACCGTCGGAATTAATTCAACCTTTAATAGTTTCACATCGAGTGTGTCTTTTCTGTGATTGAATATATTTGCATGTAAAGCGATGAAAAATAAAGATGATATTAAAAGAAGGATAGAGAAGGTAAGAGATAGAAAGAGAAAGAGAGAAAAGTGAAATAATTCGTGGGGGAAAAAAAAGTATAATATACACCTTAGAAAAATATAATAATATTTAAATATATCGTTATTAAGTATAGGACTGATGTAATGTCATGATTGTTACGAAGTTTAGAGAGAAAAAGAGTCCTCGTTGAAATTCTAAGGATTAACGATTCTTAGTATCGCTA